ACAAGGTCACAATTGGTATGACAAAAAATCATTCTTTTCATGGTAGGACAAAGTACATCGACATCCCTTATCAACTCATTCGTGATCGTGTTGTTGTTGGAATAATCTCATTGATATTTTGTGGCACAAATGATTAATTTGATGAGCTTCTAAAAAAAACCATTCTTCACAACAAACATGACTTCTTCAGACAACAAATGAGAGTTTGTGATTTTTAAGAAATGAGGTGTGTTGACTTATTCTTCATATTAATTAAGTTTCAAGAAATCAGTTTGTGAGTCTGGTTATTAGGATTCGTTGGTTTAAGTTTTTAGCTAGTCAATGAATTATCTTCTTATTGTAGTGGGTCATGTTTACCACTTTCCCCATATTTCTCCATTAATAGTTAGTTGCTTTATTTTAGCTTAAGTAGTTAACTGTAACCCTATAAATGGCAGTATGTGTTCTTGTTTCAGTAGTAAGAAAATTGAGCAGTTCAAACACTTTATTTCTGAAAGGGATCTTCTTTAGCTTTCATCTCTTGATCCAACAAGTAATAGTATGACTCGTGGTTTGATCCCAATGGTCATAGGGAAACTAGTACATAGGAATAACCCGCTTTTAAAACCACAATGGTCAAAATTATTCTCGTGATAAACTTTTGAACATTTTTTTTTGTTTTTATGTTAATGTTTTGGGATAATTCATATCAAAACTTTTTATAATTAATTTTTTTGTTAATAGGCACATCTTCTTTGGGTTAAATCATAATTATCCTTTCTAATGATTTAAAAATATATATTGATTGAAAACACTTGTCCTTCATTAATGTTGTTAAATCAATTGCATTCACACTAATTCTTTTTTTATGCAGTTGTTTAATACAATTGACATGGTATTATTATACAATGCACGTTTAAAGAAATCAATATTTTATGAACTCATAACTTACAAAATGTTAAATGTTTATAGATTTTTTTTTTTTATATTGTTGATTGACTTTTATATTCTTAAAAGCTAAATTATTTGTTTAAAGAGATAAAAAATTTTGGATAAAAATTTATATTTAGCTTTACATATTTTGAATCCAACTAAAAATTTTCCGGTTGCATCAAGTTTTCGATCTATTAGTAATGAATTTGATTCTAATTCAAACTAATCATATGCTGAGACTTCTATTAGAAATTTTTTATGACATTTAATATAAATTAGGTAAAAGCACACATATTCCCTTATCCAAAGGTAGAAATCTATATTTTAAACTTATTAGATTTACTAATACTATCTTGCTTAATTGATTTTATAAACATGTTTTGTAAGTTTTTCTCTTTTATTCATATTGTTCACTATTATTAGTATAAAATAAAAATAAATATGAAGTCTAGGTGTTATATATGTTTATTGTTGTTGTTGGAAACGAGTTTTTTCGATGATGGTCGTTTATATGATTTAAAGTAAAAGTAAATTTTACATAAAATCAACTCTTTTGTATGTTGGTATAATCAGGGGAGTAGGAACAAGGGAACGGTGAAGTGAATGAATGACCAAAAGGGTTTTGGTTTCGTTAGTCATGATGATGGTCGTTGTAATTTTTTATTCATCAATTTGGTATTAGATCTGAAGGTTTCCGTAGCTTAGCTTATGGGGTAGTTTTTGAATTTGATGTGGAATATGGGAATTACGGCCGTACTAAGGCTGTCAATGTTTCCGGCCCAGATGTTACTCCTGTCAAAGGAGGATCCCGTGATGGTGAAGGTGTTGGAGGTCATCACTATGGTTGTGGTGGTTGATATTGATGTGGAGGTAGGAGATATGGTGGTGTTGAACATGGTTAGGGTAGTGGCAGGCGGTATGGAGGTTATGGTTGATGTGACGGCGGTGGTGTAAAGTATGGTGGAGGTGGCGGTGTGTATGGTGGTAGTGGTGGAAGAGGAAGTGGGTGTCACAAGTGTGGGGCAGATGGGCATTTTGCAAGGGAATGTAGTCAAGGTGGTGTAAAGAGCAATGAGAATCAAAGAAAACTTGAATGACTAAAACTAAGGAACTACTTTAACAACTTAATCTAAATCTACTCTAACAACTTGATAAGAATTAATAACAAACTAACAAACTAGTGAGTATGTCAACACACCCCCTCAAGTTCGGTGTGGTGCAACAACGCCTAACTTGGATAAACACCGAAAGAAGGCGGGCTTGGGCAACAACTTTGTGAGAGTGTCTGCAATTTGATCCCCGGCAGGAAGATATTTGACTACCACTTTACCTGAGTTCACACTGTTGCGGAGGTAGTGAAAGTCTACTGCAATATGCTTCATCTTAGTATGGAAGACTGGGTTCTTGCTGAGATATGAAACACCAATATTATCACAAAAAATTCTTGGCGTTTGCGAGACTTGATATCGTAATTCAGTCAACAGATTATGTACCCAAGTAAGTTCAGAGAGTGCATTGGCTACCGATTTGTATTCTGCTTCAGCAGAGGACCGATCAACTTATTATTGCTTTTTAGAGGACCAACAGATCAGATTTGGTCCAAAGAAGAGTATGTAACCATATGTGGATATTCTGTCAGAGGGATCACCTGTCCAATTAGCATCGGCGTACACATACAAATTACTATCAGAGTGGCTAGAGATTTGCAGGCACGACGTTGATGATGCCTTGAGGTATTGAAGCACCCTTTTTACTGCTTTCCAATGCTCCAGACTTGGGGATTGCATAAACTGTGATAATTTGTTAATTGCAAAGGTAATATCAGGATGCGTGAATGATAAATATTGCAATTTACCAATGGTGCGTTGATACAAGGTTGCATTGGCTGGAGGTGAACCATCGGCTGCTTTGGGTGGTAAACTTGAGCACATGGGTGTCGTAACTCCTTTACAGTCGGCCATATCCACATCTAAGAGAATCTCAAGTATGTATCTGGATTGTGATAAGACAATCCCATTTGGAACATGTTTGACTTCGATCCCTAAAAAATAGTTGAGTTCACCCAGGTTCTTTAGGGAGAACTTGTAAGCTAGAGAGTTGATTACATGTGTAACCAAGTTTGGATAATTCCCAGTAATGAGGATATCATCAACATACACTAGAATATACATCGTCACAGCTTCAGATGTAAATATAAACAGAGAAGCATCTGATTCAGACTTAACAAACCCAATTTTAGTCAAGTGAGATTTGAGAGCTTCATACTATGCACGAGGAGCTTGTTTTAGGCCATAAATGGCCTTTTGGAGACGACAAACATGATTGGGAAAATCAGGGTTGACTTAGCCTTTCGGCTGCGCCATGAATACTTGCTCCTGTAAGTTACCTTGCAAAAATGCATTATTTACGTCAAGCTGCTGCACTTTCCAGTTATTTTGAACTGCAATAGAAAGTACAATTTTGATGGTGGTTGGTTTGACAACTGGACTGAAAGTTTCATGAAAGTCCAGTCCTGGACATTGTGTGAAACCTTTTGCGACTAATCGTGGCTTGTACCTATCAATAGAACCATCAGCTTTCCTTTTAATGCGAAATAACCACTTACAAGCAACAACATTATTTATCGAGTCCCTAGGTACTAGTTCCCAAGTTTGGTTTTTCATTAAGGCTTCGTATTCTAGATCCATTGCATTCTTCCATTCAATGTGCTTAACTGCTTGCTTAAAGGTATTTGGAGTGGGAGAAAGGTGGGCCAAGAAGCTGAATTTTTTCTTTGGTGTGAAGATATTATTTTTGGACCTTGTGACCACACCAGATGGTGGAGGGACAACAGCTGGTGACATAATTGCTGGCTGTTGCGGTGGATGTTGGTTGATTGGTGGCCGACGGGAATAGTATAATGGTTGAGAGGTGTTGTGGGTTGCTTCATTAAATAGTGAAGGAGGTTGGGAAGAGATAGGAATCATACCTGATGAAGTAGAGACTGCTGGTAGTTGCCTTCAATTATGGACTCTAGAGTGTTTGAATGAGAGGGAACTGTTAGGGTGATAGGAATATGAGGCAGAAGATTGGAACAAGATTGGAGTCCAAATTTAATTGGACTTCCGGATGAGTATCCTTACCGACTTGGGACTCTATGATTTCCCATTGTAACGTGGAAAACTTATTTTTCAAGTGTGAGAACATTTGAGTGAAAGGAAAAATATCTGCACAGAACATCATGACTAACGAAATTTTTTGAATGCACAGGATTAAAGTAGAGGTGTGCATGATGAACAATAGAAACTCCTAAGTAGACACACAGTGTAGATCTAGGCTGAAATTTATTTTTCGTATATGGCTTAAGCCATGGATAACAGAGACAACCAAAATTTTTCAGCGAATAGTATTTTGGCTGTTCCCCAAACAATTTTTTATAAGGAGAATCATTATTCAGGCCAGGTGTAGGTAGTCTATTTATGAGATAGACAGCATGGTGACAGACAAAGGACCATAGTTTAGACGGTAGTGAGGTTTCATTGAGAAGAGTTCGAGCTGTTTCGATAATGTGACGATGTCGTCATTCAGCGATTGCAACTCGTTGGTGCGTGTAGGGTGGGGAGATCAAATGTTGAATGCCATGGCATTGTAGGTACTGTTTAAGACTTGTGTATTCACCCCCTCCATCAGTATAAAGTGAGACAATTTTGTGTTTGAAAAATTTTTCCACTAAAGGATGAAAGTTTGCAAAAATTGAAGCGACTTCACTTTTGTTTTTGATTGTATACAACCAAGTGTATTTGGTGTAATGATCAACAAAAATGCAGTAATACAACTTTTTATCAATGGATAAAATGGGTGATGGACCCCATAAATCACTAAACAAAGTTTGAAGTGGTGCATTACTATTTAAAGTGAGTCGTTGAAATGGCAAACGATGAGCTTTATTTGATGAGCACGAATTACAAAAATGAAACTTTTCTTTGGTGGACTTATTCCTTCCTTGTACCAGCAGTTTTTGAATTTTGAGATCCTTCACAAGGAAAAAGTGTGGAAAAAATTCGATTGAGGTCAGATTGTCAGTGCAAAACTTAGCAACAGAAATAAGGTTATTTTTTTATAGCTGGAGCACAAAGAGTGTTAGAGAGCATGAAATTGGAGTTAGAAGCCTTAATTTGAGTAAAACTAGTGTGAGCAATGGGAATAGTTTTACCGTCACCCATGGACACTTCGCCAGTGTATTCTTCAAGATTATCTGACTCGGTTGTGACATGATGAGTTTCTCCAGAGACAAGGATCCAAGGATTTGCATCTGAGTGATGATTTGACACAAAGTTGACCTTAGCTTCAAAGTGGTTGTGCGATTTTGAGCGACACACATCAGCTGTGTGACCGATCTTTTGGCAAAGTTGGCATTGTACCGCTTGCCTGGGTAGTCTCCCATTCTGTTGATTTCCAGGGACCTCCTGTTGTGGAGCTTGTGGTCTTGAAGATTGTTTTGGGAAGCGACGATTGTTTTTATGATGTTGGGGTTGGAAGTTGGTCCTTTGTGCAACTGCAGCCGTGATGATGGAGGATAACCTGTCAATATCTTGATGTTTGAGAAAGAGTTCACGATCCGTGAGTTTCTGGAAAAACTCCTCAAAGCTTAGGGCTGTGTCGCGCGCTCTTATAGCGGCAGTGATTTCATGGTACTCATGACCTAGATCACTCAAAATCTTGACTACTAGTTCATCATCAGCCACCGGAGAGCCCGCTACTTTGAGAGCATCAACAATTGATCTGATCTCCTATAGGTAAGTAGCAACTATCTTGGAGGCCTTTTTCATGTTTTGCAACTGATCTCGTAAGCTGAAGATGCGAGTGTGACTCCTATTGGCATAAGCTGTATGAAGGAGATCCCAAGCTATTTTTGACGAAGAGGCAGTAGCAACAGTGGGAGCAATGGTGGGGTCAATGGATGCCATCATTGCCTGTTGAATTAGTTGGTCTTGGCAAAACCACAACTCATATTCAGGATTGGAGATGGTACTATCAGTTTGTGTGATAGTGTTTGGCAGAGCAGATTTGGCACAGTGAGATGCCCAAGGAGCTTGTGTCCATTGAGTAGCATCACTAGTTGCGCCTTCTAGGTGGCAAAGTTGAGGTTACCTTGCAGTTTGATAGGTAATTGGGTAGCTGGATTGAACTGTACCACATGAGTGGTAGTCGGAACTGCAGCAGCACTATCACTGGTGGTAGTAGGAATAGCCATGTTTGGACGGAAATAGAGGAATTTTTTTTTTGGATCGGACTCGTGAGAGTTTTAGAGGGGCTCTAATACCATAAAGAGATTGAGAATCAAAGCAAACTTGAATGAATCTTATTCAAATGTAACATCAACTTAAATACAGGTAAGATGTAACTAACTTGACTAATTCTAAGGAACTGTTCTAACAATTTAATATGTAACTAAGTTGACTAAAACTAAGGAACTACTTTAACAACTTAATCTAAATCTACTCTAACAACTTGATAAGAATTAATAACAAACTAACAAACTAGTGAGTATGTCAGCAGCTATGGCCATCTTCCCAACTTTGGCTACATTCCCTTTCTAATGACCACTTTCCCCACACTTGTAACAGCCACCTCCTCCTCCACCACCGCCACCTCCACCACACTTTCCACCACTGCCGCTATATGTACCATCACCTCCATACCACAATACTGCCATACCGCCTGCCACTGCCGTAACCATCTTCATCACCACCATATCTCCCCCCTCCACATCTATATCAACCACCACCACCATAATTATAACCTCCACCACCTCCACCATCAAGGGATCCTTCTTTTAAAGGAGCACCATCTGGGCCGGTATCATTGACCGCCTTAGTGCAACAAGCATTCCCAGGTTCCACATCAAACTCAGCAGCTTTACCATCAACTAAGCTACGAAAACCACCGGATCTTATAGCATATTGATAAATAAAAATATCATCACCATCATCATTAGGGGTAATAAAACGTAAACCCTTTTTGGTCACTGAACAACTTCACCGTTCCCTTGCTTCGATTCCCTTGATTACACATATACTCCAAGGAGAAAAATACAATGATTATACCTTGTATGCTAAAGGCAAGAGATAAAGAGGTTCAAACAAATCATTTGGTTGAGCACAAGATGTCTTTTTTTTAGAAAAAGGGTTCGAAAGTGGTATTGTCTTATAATTTATGTGTTGGTGTTGTACATAACAAAAATAGGAAAAAATGGGATTAATGTTCCTACACTCTGATTCAAGTAAAAAGACTTGGTCCTACTTTTTTTTTTTTTAGATATTAAATTAAAGAACAATACCTAAGAGATGAATCTCATATGGTGGACTCTTGTAGTTATGTATGAATACATATATCAAAGCTATCCCAAGTATGATATTATGGACAACTAAAAAAATGTGAATCCAAAAGACCTCATCCTAGTTCTCTCTAAAAAGAATCATATACAAAGTGATATATAACATATATTTGCTTCTCAGAATAAGGACACTAGACATACTTAGATACGAGAGAGTTACACTCTTAAAATTACATTAACAAAAGTTCTATTGGAATTTTCTCCAACAAAATTATATATATATATGGAGAATCTAAGGACAGTCCATGCAAAATATCATAAGCCTTTTGTATAAAAATGAAAGGGGGGATTCGATGTATGCAGAAATTAAGCAGATACACCACATTATTAACATAGTAGTAGATAATAAAATTGTTGATTATCTAGAAAAAATAAGCACACTTGACATTGGATCTATAATTGCAAAATGGAGGCTATAAAGGAGATGACCGAAGCTTATGAAATGAATCTCCTTTATCAAATGTTAAATTAGGGTTTCTTAGTTTATTCTTACAAATTTATAAAATATTTTTTTTCCTTATGTAGATATATCTCTAAACCTTTCTACTACTAATTATAAAATGTCCACGCAAAGGTCAGAATCAATGAAGATGGAGACATGCAAATAAAAAATGAAGATTTATATTTACTGTTCATAGATGAGCAACAAAGTAGAACGAGGAAGAGCTTAATAACAATGATTTGACACAACATACAGAGACGAAAGGTCTTGTTCTACTAAAGGACAAACATTTTCAGGTGTGGTAGGTCTTTTGGAGAGAATGAGAAGAAGAGGCGGAGAATAGGAAACCCTAGTACAAAGGAAAATGTCTAAGGAAGATAGTTTTTTGTATTTACTTTACATTTTGGGCGGCCCAATCTCTTTTGTGTGGTAAGTAGATTTGGGTACTAGGGCCAAATGAGTTTCCTTTTTGTTTAAACTTCTTTATCACATCAATAAAAGGCCTAACTTTTTCTTAAAAACAAGGGCCATGCGGTCATGAAACTTTATCCAACGACAATAGCGTGGATCTCATTCCCAACATTACCCCCAAATTTCTTTGGGAAATAACTTTTTTAATTTACTTTCTAAAGTATTTCAAACCCAATATAAGGCTTATAAAAACCTATTTACCAAATACATCAACAACATATAAACAATATTAGGGCTTTGATATAAATATGTAATTATTATAAAATAAAGACTTTAATATAAATATAATTAAAGTGAAAGAATAATCTACACAAGAAGAGAGGGAAGGGAGAGCTATTTTTATTTCACCTTTTATTCATATCTTTTTCCTCACATTAAGGGCCTATTCATAAGCCAAAAAAAAACATTGGCCTAAAGAATATGTGGGACCCATGTTCTTGGGAGCAAAGGAAAAACACGTGGACATAATATTTTACAACACTCCCCCTTGATGTCCATGTAAAAGAAAAATTATAGTGAAACAAAAAGTGTAGTAACATGCATTGTTTGCTGCCACATTAAAAACCGCTTGAAAGAAGCTAGGTGTAAGCTGATTGTGAGAAACTACTTGCAGAGCTACTTGTAAGAGGCTAATAAGAACATCATGGTTTAATTTGCTTATAGAATCTGCTAGTGGAGTTGATTGTAATTTGCTTATAGAAACTTGCATGCCAGGTTGTTTGTAAGTTGCCTTCTTGATTTCAAACTCATCCAGAGAACTATGTAATTGACATCTACAATATGATGTATTTATTACTTATTGGAGTTCATCAATAAATAATTTGTCTCGTTAAAATGTTATTAGGAAAAATTCCGTGGGAAAAAGTCCTACTAAAGGAAAAAGAGTACACATATCTAGTAATATGCGTTGAGAGTTGCCTCATTAAAAATCTTAACAGAAAATCAAGTGGGATAAAAACCTTGATTAAGGGAAAAAGAGTGCAGTGCTTATTTACTCCCCCAAATGTTGATATTAATTGTGTCTTTGTGACAAAATCATATTCATGAAGATGTTGCATCATAGAGTCTATCATGATATGTTATTTTCTTATCTATTTGATATGTTGAATTCAACCACTGATAATCAATTAGTTTGTGACCTCATCGGTATAGACAAATTTCTGATTCAACTTGTTTGTAGCAATAGACAAGTGACTGATATTTTATTTGACTATATTGTAGAATAATATAATATAAAATTATTTCCACATACAAACAAATAGCTTTCTTGAGATCATACTTTATGTATATAACCAATAAACCTTTACAAGATTGGTTAGATAAACAAATTTATAAATCAATATTTCATACCTTTTGAAAGTCTCTATCAATAGGAATAATGTTATATTTGCAAGCACATCAATAAAATTATTATACAATGAATAATTATCGCAGGATACATAATTGTCACCCCCCGAGGCTAGCCCCTTGACGTAAACACGGGACCTAGGATACATAATTGTCACCCCCTGAGTTGGCATTTCATAAACATATAAACATTTTCTAAAATAGGAGATACTGTGCGGAAGCTTTAAACATGAGATAAATTGAAATGGTGGGGAATACCTAACACTGGTCTAAATATAAATACTCGATAAGAGTTAATAACAATGGACTATAACTCAAAAACTAAAGCTGCATCTAACTATGTATGAATATAAGCCTCTAACTGACTAGATATGTTGGGACATGCCCTAGCTAACTCTAGCAAAAATTGAAACTAAAATTAAAGATTGAATGTAAAATAACATGTCTATTGTCCTCGAAGAATGAGGAATCACAACTGATACTGTTGTATATGGATCGAGAACTAATTTACACGTGATCTGAATGCTGAGGACCTGAACCTACATCACGAAAAGATGTAAGTGTAGAGTATGCATCAATACTTGAAAGGTACTGAGCATGTAGGATAAGATAAAGCTGAACAAACATATAGCTGAAAAAAGCATACTGAGCAATGATATAATCCGAACTTGATACAGATACTGAGCTATATTGAAAATGAACTAAACTGAATGCAATGACCAAGTACATAACATGCTGAAACTGAATACTAAAATATATCTGAAACTTGGTAAAATGCACTTGAGTCAGACTATGGGAGCTACTAATTACCAACATAAAACCACGTGAGCTAAACGTGGAGTCTGATGTATACGCCCTATCGAGAGGACCCAATATACCTTATAAGGGGTATAAAGGCATGACTGGCATGATCACTAAATCTAATGCCCACAGAGGGGACTTATAAACCTACGGGGGCACGTAGTTCTGGGACTATGAGGGTGACTGACCCTAGTCCAACTTGGTGTTGAGCTTACTCCCAACTGGAAATGTATACAATACAACATATCTGAAATATATTGGATAACTCAATATTTTGACATGCTAACTGAAAATGTAACATTGAGTACTGATAATGAAACATTTGGAAACTAAGGCATGTATATCTGTTTATCTATCCTAGCTAGTGTAATTCATGAACTAAACAAATTTACACAACTAGGGTTCTGAATTTCATGCAAGGCAGTAAGCTACAATGTTACAACAACATGAAAATCTGATTAGGATTATTAGAACAACTAAATCACAACAATTCTCTATATTTCTAGAAATCCTATGTCTATATAATATGAAGGGAATCAAGAATCTGATTGAATTCTAAGGACCTAATGGGTGAAAGGAACCCACTAGTGAGATCCCACATACCTGGTGACAAATTTCATGGAAAAATCTTTCGATTTCGGAGCTGGAACTGAAGAAACCTGGCTGCGTGTTCTTGAGAAAGTTATAGCTTGATTTTTCCTTTTTGCTCTAAGTCTGATGATATTTTGGTGAATAAAATGCTAAGGGTAAGTTCTAACTAAGTTACTAGGCTTAAATTGACCAAAACTATGTAGTT